GAAGTGCAGCGCTGACATCATCCAGAGCTTGCGGATGGGACCTTTTATGTGTTGTGGTGCCAGGGAGCAGCTCTCACTGTCAGCCAGTCTGACTCAGCGCTGGGCTTCAGACACAAACGTGTGACAATCCATTACGTCGAGGAGTTTCACAAATTACACCACATTCTACTCACAACATTTACATGAAGTCTGTGCACTAGACCATTGAACTATTTAAGTTCAAATGAATTTATCCACTAGATGATAAGATGTTTTGCAGCAATTGTAGGGTTACAGGTTGCAGTTTTCTTTTTTTTAATCTTTCTTCAAATCGTATAGAGCAAGTAATGCTAATAACAAATACACACACTGCTAGTCGTATTCAACTTCAGGATTGTGTTTCTATGCTCAAATATAGGATTCGCTTCAAAAACCATATCATTTTCTAATTAGAACTTCATTGTTAGGGCAATACCCATAGCATGTTGTCTCCAAACGTGGTGTCTCGATAAAGGAAGACCTCTTAGCTTTGGAAATCGCAGTGAGAGCTTATGCAACATTTCGTTTGAATTCTTCTTGTGTGACAGTCACCTGCCTACAGATGAAAGGACCCCTATTGAGGGTGCAAGCACAATATTAGCCTCTGCAAAGACCAGGTAATGTTGTAACATTATGTCAGCACTCTGAGAATGAGCTATTGTCATTCAGGCATAATTACAGGTCAGGGCCTATTATTTGAAGTGGAGGGCAGTGACCTACAGAGATCACACTCTGCTTTCATAGTATTTCATTGTCATTTAAACTGACTGGTAGGGCTCTCCACCTGAAGGCATGGAAGGTGCTCGGAAGTCACTCAGCAGAGTTCAATATAGGATGTTCTTTTCAGGCAAGCTAAAATGAAGATATTGCGGCAAATAAAAGGCAGTGTGCAGGAAAGAACATTTCATTAACTGCATTTTTCTAATTAAAAGATGAGTTTGTTTATCTAAATTTGTTGGAATATTTTTCACAGTCTAATTGGCTTTTTTTTACACTCCTTCAGATGCTCTAGAAGCCTAAGTGACTGAAAAACAATGATCACTAGAAAACTAAAGGAAAACCATGCCGGAAATGAATTAATTAATTAATAGAATTCTCATAACCGTTGAATAAAAAGGTGAGGAGAGGAATAGCTCTGAGGAAGAAACAGTTAGATGTTATTGTTGGAAACTTTTGACTAAAAAATGAGGACGGTAGAGTGTCAATGGAAATCAGCATTCCCTCTTGTGTTTCTTGCTTTGTTTGTTCACTTCCTTCCTTAACTTATTTATTGCTTTGCTGTTATAGTATATATTTTTAAAGACATGATATGAAATAATCTCAAATGAAGCAGTGTTTCTGGAAATGTACCTTGCGCATATTAGCGCGAGTATTCTAGAGTCTACATGCTTTTACCCCCTCACTGTTTCTGGTGAAGCCACCGGGAGCTGCTGCAGGTCTGTGTGGGATACCAGGGAGGTGTGACAGAGTCAGAGCAGGGAATATGAGACCCATCCTTCTGAGGGTGGCAGGGTCTTGATAAGTCTTATTTAAACTTTACCCATTGCAAAATGCCATGTGTCAACAGTTGCCCGTGGCCAAAGTGCTCTGATCTGGTAAAGCAAACTCCCAGGGACAGCCCATCCATCTTTATGAGACTCATTTACCGTGGGTACTGCAGCCTCTGCGGCTTCAGTTTCAGACTCCAGTCCAGAAACCATGAGTGGAAGCACTCGGAAGGAAGAATTAGACAATTTGCCTAGAGGATTCCGTCAGTTCTCCCTCATACAGTTTGAGCACAGTTGGTACAAGTTGTGGAATATCTCAAACAGGTGTCATGTCGGTTGTGAGTAGCTGAAGCCACTTCTGCCTCCATTACCTAAGCCACACTATTTATCACCCAGAGAAGCAACTTAATTCGTTCAGTGTTAGAGAAAATAATGTGACCACACTGATATAACTAATCTATACTATTTAATCATTTTTCCCTTGTTTTTCTAAGATTTATAGAGTTAGAGCAACTCTTTACCGTCTAATTTTAATATCCTCACAATGCATTTTGATATATCAGGTGTAAACAAATGAACCGGAACAAAACATCAGTAGAAAGATGAATACAGTGTGCTGTGTTCATGATTTTATCAAATTTATTTGAATAAAACACAACAAAGGCAACAGCAGTGAATCCCCAAAACTGACTGTACTTACTGACATATAAGTGGCACTGGAAGTTTAAAAAAAAAAGAAAGATGGGCGGTGAGCTCAAACATTTGCAGTGGAATCTGAGAAGTAGAAGAGGTGGAAGACATGATTTGGCAGTTTACCCCCAGTGTTTGCTTCAAAATTTTGACGCCATGGCTCGAAGTCAAGCTGAGAAGTTTCCCAAGACCCGCTCAGCCTACAGGCGGGCGCTCCATGTAGGCTTTGAGCCCTCACCCCGAAGGATCAGTCGACTGGAAGTCAGTCTACAGGGTTCCTCAAACCTTTCGCAGTCAGCAATGTGAAGGCGTGAACATGTCCAACCACACCTCTCATGCCTCTGTGTTAGCCATCAAGGTTTGCTCCTGTGCATGTTGAGAGCAGTCTCCACAAAAATGAAAACTCACAAAAAGAAGCAGCTATTATTAAACCCTCCCACGACATTCGTCCAGACTGTAAACTATAAATAGCATCAAATATTCCCTTATTGATGACGCTTCATTGTTTGTTCCATAAAAGACAATGGATTTACAATTTGAATGTAACATGAGTGGCCCAGGTGAAAATCACAGCTCAAAGTTTACTGAGGGCTCAAGGTTTTCAACATACCCAGAGAGAGTGATGCTTTGTTGAAATGTTATCAAATCTGCTCAATTATCCATATCAAGTTGTCATGAAACAAAAACAACTCACACCCACAGGCTTTCCAGTCTCCCCTGTTTCTCTCCAACATGTGAAGACCTTAGAACAACAGCTTTGAATGCCATTTGATTGCCTACAAGGTCCATGGGGCAAAAAAGGCCCGTTCTTAATGCAGATGCAAGAACAACATTGGTGGCCTTAAACTGCTACATTATATGCAGGGAAAGTATGTATTTCCTTATCAAGAGATATATTCCATTTGTGATGCATATTCTGCGCAGATCATCATATGTCGACTAATTTATTTGCTTATCTTTTCTACTGCCCTTTCAGACGGAAGATTCTTTCATATATGTGAACGCATTGTCACGTTTGGTTTGAAAAACTGAATGCATGGATTATAGGGACTAAACTCACACAACAAAGTGCCTTTTGTCAACGGAAAACAAGTGCTGGAACAAATCCAGAGAAGTGGATTGTAGTGTCGCAACGCTTTTGACAGGGACTGTGTTTAAAGTGATTTTCTTCAATAACAACTTTTAAGTTGTAAAATGTAGCCTAAGATATTGTAGGGTTTGTTCTTATTATTACCAACAGTATTAAGTAATATCATTAATGCAAATGTACATAAAACAACCATTTGTTAACAATTACTTTTCACTTTAAGAAAAACAGCATTTAAAAAAAATCTGCCATGTTAATAGGAAATTATTCAAATCACAGTTCCCCAGAATAAATGCTTCTATCAACGCGTGTTTTGTTATTTGTACTGTTATCCTCCTGGAGTAATTAATGAGAAATAGTCATTTATAAATCATACCAATCCAGTTTTGTTTGTTAATAATCTCCACTGAATGTTAAAATAACGCATTAAATCCTGGCTTTTTTGTGTGAGAAATTCTAAAAACTCCAAACGAAAGAACAATAAAGAAACTTATTTGATTTTTGAATATTTGGAGCCCCTTGCTTTGTTGCTAACATTGCAGCAGTCCATGAGAGTCTTTCCATTCCTCAAGTTTCTGGACTGCTGTCTCCCCCTGTTGGTCAGTGTGGTCATAACTGAAGTGTCCTGATCCGTTGCAGCTCTGTAATGACTCATTTGCGGAGCTGCCCCTGCAGAAAAAAAGAGGAGAGAATAGAGATTTTACACATTAAGGGTGACCATTCATTAAAACAGGGGCACATATCAAACCGGTTAAAGACTAATCTTCTCAGAACGTCAACAGTTCAATTCATACTCATTGCATTTCCCACACAGGTCAGAGCTGAATACAAAGTCAATCTCTCGTGGCCAAGAAGACTTCACTGGTTGATATTTACATCATGAAATCATGCCACCTTTATATATTTTGACGTAAGTCAGTTTAATTATAAGAAGAACATTTTCAGATTGATGAAAATGCAAGTACGTCTGTTTAATAAATTCATAACAAAATGCACTGCGAATAAAGCTAATTTTGAATCATGGGTCTAAGAATTATAAAGACAGCAATTATGACTGACCTTGTTTCCAAACTAAGGAAAGAGAATTAATAAAACGGCTGTGAAAAAAAAGAAAAAATCTACACAACATTGTCTTTTTCAGTTTTTTTTTTTACAGTTACTTGTCAATGTTAATTTTTCTTTTAATTAAAGCATAGATTGAAATGAAACTAAAGACCATCCGGGGAAAAACACTTACTTACTTACTTACTTGAGCTGGGTTTTCAATGTTGTTGACTGCAAGAGTTCTTCTGAATCAAATTACGTCCCCGCCCACTGGATGTAGCCTGCCCCCCAATCATTCCCTTGCCCTAAACATAAATTCAGGCATCGCCTCCTGAGTTTGCAGACTCTTCACCTATCCTCACACACCAGACTGCTCTGTCACATTTGGTCTTCCAAGTTGAGGTTTCATAGTTAAACATTCGGAGGCATTCACTTTCTATTAGCTTTATGGTTTTTCGAAATTTTAAAAACTCACAGGAGCGTGAAGCACTACTTTGTGGCATCGTTTTACTTTTGAGGATTCGAGTTTACCAGTCAAGCTGTGCGCCCTTACAGACTGTCATCGCAGTCTTTGGGCACAACTGTTGGATTTAGAAAGAAGGATTTTCTCCTCCTTTTCCGTTTTTTTTTTTTTTTTTTTTTGGGCTGAGAATCTGCTCTTTAATTTTTTTCGCATGAATCTCCTCGACCCTTACCTGAAGATGACAGACGAACAGGAGAAGTGTCACTCTGACGCGCCCAGCCCCAGCATGTCCGAGGACTCCGCGGGCTCGCCCTGCCCGTCCGGCTCCGGTTCGGACACCGAAAACACCCGGCCGTCCGACAACCATCTCCTCAGAGGTCCAGACTACAAAAAGGAGGGCGAAGAGGAGAAGTTCCCCGTGTGCATCAGAGACGCGGTGTCCCAGGTGCTGAAGGGCTACGACTGGACGCTGGTGCCCATGCCGGTGCGCGTCAACGGCTCCAGCAAAAGCAAACCTCACGTCAAGAGACCCATGAACGCATTTATGGTGTGGGCGCAGGCGGCAAGAAGGAAACTGGCCGATCAATATCCGCATCTGCACAACGCGGAGCTCAGCAAAACTCTCGGCAAACTTTGGAGGTAAGTTCGCTTTGCGTTTCGAGTCCCACTTCCAGAGCACTTTTACGCGCCACCGTACGCAGCACTTCACTTCTTAACAAAACTCCCCCACCTGGCTCCTATTTCTGGTTTCAGTCTGGGAATTTGTCGTATGATCCTATATACCGTATTACTTATATATTTATTGTTGTTTTCTAAATATGGTATACATGGAATTATTTGGATTTGGAATAATCTTATATTGTTGTCTTTTTTTAATTCAATTGAACAATTCGACCAGTTTAAATTAGAGTTTATTTTACAATAATAAACGTGGATACTTATGTGAACGTTTCTTTTTTTTCCTTTAAAGACTGCTTAACGAAGTAGAGAAGCGTCCGTTTGTGGAGGAAGCCGAACGACTGAGAGTGCAACATAAGAAAGATCACCCAGACTACAAATATCAACCAAGGCGGAGAAAATCGGTCAAGAACGGTCAAAACGAGCCTGAAGACGGCGAGCAGACTCACATCTCTCCAAACGCGATCTTTAAGGCTCTGCAGCAGGCCGACTCCCCGGCGTCCAGTATGGGCGAGGTCCACTCTCCTGGAGAGCATTCAGGTGAGATAAGACAGATCATTGAACAAATCTGCTTTTTTAAGAGTTGTTACATATTTATAGTAATTTAAAGTTTTGTTTTATGATCAATATGCAAACACATCAGTCACAATATTGCTAATTTACCTTTGATGAGCAGTGATAGTGATATATGACATGTTACCAACTTCTTCAAATGGGGAATTTTATTCATTGGTTTTTTATTCTAACTTTTGATTTCCTTTAACTAGGTCAGTCACAGGGTCCGCCAACGCCACCAACGACCCCCAAGACAGACATTCCTACCAGTAAAGCTGACATGAAGCGAGAGGGACGCCCCATGCAGGAGGGCACCAGTCGCCAGCTCAACATCGACTTTGGCGCCGTGGACATCGGCGAGCTGAGCAGCGACGTCATCTCCAACATGGGGAGCTTCGACGTGGACGAGTTCGACCAGTACCTGCCGCCTCACAGCCACGCCGGGCTGACCGGCCCGGCCCCGGCCGGCTACCCCAACAGCTACAGCATCGGCAGCTCTGGGGTCAGCCAGGCGGCCAGCGTCGGAGCCCACAGCTGGATGTCCAAGCAGCAGCAGCAGCAGCAGCATTCTTTGACCACCCTGGGCGGTGGAGGGGAGCAAGGCCAGCAGGGTCAGCAGAGAACCACCCAGATTAAGACGGAGCAGCTGAGCCCCAGCCACTACAGCGAGCAGCAGGGCTCCCCGCAGCACGCCGCCTACGGCTCCTTCAACCTGCAGCACTACAGCGCCTCCTCCTACCCCTCCATCACAAGAGCGCAGTATGACTATTCAGACCACCAAAGCGGCGCCAACTCCTACTACAGCCACGCCGCCGGCCAGGGCTCCAACCTGTACTCCACCTTCAGCTACATGAGCCCCAGCCAGAGGCCCATGTACACCCCCATCGCCGACAGCACCGGGGTGCCCTCCGTGCCACAGACCCACAGTCCACAGCACTGGGAGCAGCAGCCCATCTACACACAACTGTCCAGGCCCTGAAGGGACGCTTTTTAGCATCGGCTTCGTAACTCAAGACCACCCACTCAGACTTCTTTTTCTGGCCGGTGGCCGTTACGCCGCCCTGCCACACATCTTTCATTGCCAACAGAAAAACATGACAAGGACTTTTTTTTATAGTTCTGAAAAAGTATATCTTTGGATTGGCTCACATCAGTGCCTTTTGTATTGGTTGGAATTGTGATTATATTTTTTTAGATATAATGCTTAAGAAAAGTTAAATCCTCTGTGAGGACATACTGGTTATGAATATATTAGTATGTACTGTGTATGTGTTCTGCTCTTTGTCATTCTCGTCATAATCAGTGTCATCAGCATCGTTACCACCGTGATTTGAAGGTTTAACTCACCTAAAGGAGCAGGAATGCCAGGTTACAACACCCTCAGTGGCCTTACTTCTCACTAACGTTCTAAGTTTACTGACACTGCCATTTCATAAAAGCTTTCATTCCGCTTCAGATTTTTGTATTGTATATATTTTGATTACCATGAGATGCAGGTATTGAGCAATGCAGGTTTGAAATAGCTTAGAATTTTTGGCCATGATATGACCACGTCATCAGTGAATTAGTCAAACGTTCTACTTCTTGTTTGCTTTAGCTCAACTTATTGTCGGATAGTGTTGGAAATGCTATAGCAGGTGCCATATAACTCTTTTAGGGGCCTTACTGTATTGCTAGAGGGGACAGCAATGCTTGCTTTTATCTGAGTACTGCCTTGACACCATTGGTGCCTCTGGAGCCACAGTAGTGGGGCTTCGCCCGCTGGTAATGCAGTGTGGAAACAGCAGCGAGGGTCGGACTTCCTACTTGATGAGATTCAGGAAGTGACCTTTGACCTGACTCTTGTCAGCAGCCATCGGGTCTGAGGCGTGGTGTGCTTCTACCATTCCTTCTGCCACATTCTTTTTTTCCTAACCTTTTTCTTAATTTATTCTTAGCATTAATTTTATTTGAAAATAACTATTTTGCAATTACCTTTTTATTTCAGCAGCAGCTAACTGAGGTGAAATAGGTTGCTGTCATATGTGGTACAAATTTGTTTATTTATCATTTGTAAATGTTTCCGTATAAAAATTTCTTTTATTCATGATCTAGTTATGTACAGAATACTCAAAATGATAGCATTCTTTACCTGAAAAACTGGATATTTCCTCTTTTTTGCCTTCTAACAAATGACTTAATGAATAAGAAATCAGCTGTAAAGAATTTGCTGGAATCTATAGGATGTTTCCTTTTTTATTTTAAATATGTGTTTCTTGTTTTATATTCTATATCGTTAGTTCTCATTTTGTCACCCTCTTAATGCAGTTTCAATAGTTAAACATGACATTGTCTTACAAGCTTATCTTTTGTATTATATTTGTTTGCAATAAAAACAAAACACAGACATATTTTGTAGTCATGTGCTGTCTTATTCTTTAGCTAAACCTGCATGCACAGTTTATAGCTGCATGAAGGTTACATTTGTCCGACAGTTTTTGTGAGCTAGTGGAATTAATTAACTAACAGGCTGAACACGGGAATCCCCAGTAACAGACAACCAGCTGCATACATTCAAATAAGTCTAAATCATTTTTTATGTTTTTCCAATGAAACACACATGGACAACAATCCTGAATAATAACAAAAGCAGAAATGAAGAAAATGGTGTTATTGTGATATGCATTATTACATATCTCTGTAACTGCAAGCAGCACACTGCAGCAGTTTGGTTAAAGTTAAGTTTTTGCTTCTAGCTTCTCAGACAATGAGGTTACAGGGCCATGGCCTATTGACAAGATGTATGTCCCTCCCCCTCCCCCTGCCTGTACACATTATGGCTTAAAGAAACAAACTAGATACTGAATATTGTTTATTCATTACTGGCCAAGTAACATAGCAAAAAAAGCCGGCCTTAATAAATCAGTGACAGTGTAAACATAATCAGGTAGTATTGCTTTGTGTTGAAATTTGAGGTACATTTGCCGATGATGACTCTTTCATCACATTAACTGGATGAAACCTTTTTTGTTTTTTGCTGCCCCTCATTAAACTCTGATAACAAAATTGTTTTTTCCTTTCAACTGACTTAACTGACTTTTAACTGACTACAAAATACATGGCATACAAGCTTGTAGGCGTTGCAGTCATCTGAAAAATTTATTATTCATATTCACCAACAGTATCTGGACTCTTTGCATTGTTTTGCAAAAATCGTATAGATGTTTTACAATTAGATTTACGTTTAATATGATAGGTTTATAACCATTTTTATGGTGCACTGCTTTGAAATCTGACTGAGTGTGAAACCCCAATTAGGCAGTGGAACTGTTATAAAACATTTTATAATTTTTCTTACAAAAATTGACCAAAGAAAATACAGTGCAACACTTTCAGTTATATGGTTTGCCTAAGCATTTGTTTGCAACTAAAACAAAACAAAACAAAATATTTAGCCAGTTTAAACGAATTTCAAACTTTATATATAATGTGTAATAAAAAAAATTAATATATAAAAAAAGATATCAATATATATATATATTGATATTTATATTGATATATTGATTTCCAATTTCAAATGTCTTGTAAGTCATAAATTATTTTAAAAACTGTCATGTCATAAGGCCTGAATTTGCAATTTCCAGTTACAAAGGAGGACAATCTTACTTCTAACAGTGAGGACCGGTGTGGCACGGTGTGTGAAGCCCACCTCCCACAGGGAGCCCTGGGGGCACATCCATCACTGAATCTCCTGTGGCTCAAACCCGGAGCCAGAAATTAGGGCCTTAGGGCTTTATGGGGCAAAGGGAGGGCAGTTAGTTACAGCTTGGGGCAAAGCAGATAATAGAAGAATTAGAGGGCAGAAAGAATGTAAAAATCCACCTTTTTGTGTTTTATAGCGGGGCTTTTTGCTCAGGACTGACAAGATTCTGAAGCATCCAAAGCAGGAAACTGACATAAATTTGATATAAAGGTAAATTTAACCCAAACATGGACATCACTAGGTCAAGTTCTGCAAGTACAATGAAAAATGTCAGGCAGTGTAAAATTCTGAGGTTCAAGTTGCCGAAATGGTAACACAGCACTGACTGACACCTGATGGAAGATAGGTCCTGAAAGTTAAAATATGGCAGACTTTGAAAAGTATTGGATAAACAAATCCATGCTCCTCCACTTTCAGAGAATGAGCAGAACATTTTTACTGAATTGTTTAATTCTCAGGTTGTTGGCTATGTTTTTTCGAAACTGGGAAATATTTAGATTTTCAGGTCCAGCACGACAACCCCCCCCCTAAAACAAACAATAATGTGCGCACATCAAATCAGAGCTCATGAGGTGATAATTTTTTTTTCTGTTTTTGGAAACAATTATGCTCTCTTTATCCTTCCTTATTTAAAGTTTGTCAGTAATAGAATTCAGAGAGAACACTTTCCAGAAGTCATTCTTTCATAACCCCTCATTATTGGCAATTTGGTAATTAAGATTCCAAAGAGAGACAAACTTAGCAACTAGCAATGATTGCATGAGCTTTCAATTAACTTCTTGTAGTAATCTAGTTGCTCCGTTTCACCTAGTCACTGATTTTAAACATGTCTAAGCTGTTTGTAATTCTAATGAAACAAAATACGAATAGGACCAACTTTGATGGGTAAAAAAAGTGTTTTATTTTGCAATTTTTTGTTGGTATAAAAACTAAACCATGTTCTCAATAGAAACATCTAAATAAAACATAAAGCTCAGAAATGTGAAGGGACTCTTTCTATGTATTTCATCAGAAAAAAGGTGGGTTTGTCAAAGAGCAGCACACTGCTAGGAAATGACATCAGAATTGAGGCTTTCCCTGAGTCAGTCCACTCACTCAGCCCGCTCACTCATGGGGTTTTCTGCAGACACAGATGGCCTTTGCCAGAATCATCCCAAAAGTAGTGATGTCATTCAAATTTACCACACATCAGATTATCAGAAAGTTTTAAGGAAATAAAAACAAAGCTTTCCCAAAGAATGGTATCTAATAAGTTGAAAATACAACTTCAAAAAATAAAACTTTGAAATAAAGAAAAGAGAAATGTAAAATGATTCAATTAAATTGATTTATATTTTATTTATGTAGCGCTAAATCACAACAACAGTTATCTCACAGTGCTTTTCAAAATGAGCGGGTCCAAACCGTACTCCAAAATGATGAATTCTTAATGAATTTGAAGAATATAAGAGTTATTTCCTCACAAAATGGCCCTCAACTCAGAACATTGGGCTAGTGGCAGAGTGACCCGACTGACTGGTGTGCAATGGGGTTGCTCCCCACCAAACAGCAGGAATGCCCTGATGGATGTTTCCGAGAAGGATCGGAAACAAGACCAAATTTTTCTTTCTCTCTTTTTTTTTTCAGGCAGGCCTTTCCATGGGCAATTTTCCCAGGACGACCCCATTATTATTCCACAGAGACGTCTGCCCCCTCCAAACCCTATGGGTGGTCTTTCTGAAGGCAAAAGGAAGAGGAAAAGAAAAAGAAAAGCTGGAAAAAATCTGGCGATACACCCACAGAGACTGGACAACAACGAAATCCACAACAATGTAAAAGGACTAACCAAAATGAAACGTCAACACAACAAACGCGGCTCTAACATATAGCTGGATTATGGCACTGTAAACTGTGGACTGGAACAGGTTGATTTTGCAGTCTATAGACATTTAGTCAATAAAAAGAAATATGAGCATATTATTTTATAGACATGTTTATGTTTCAGACCAAAGCCTTTGTTATTTTGTTGCACTCTTTCTCTCTCTCTCTGTTTTTGTACCACAAGTGACAGGTCTTATGTTTTGATTACCCACAGGGACAGAGTAAATTGACCCCAAACTCCTTTTTTTTTAAATCTGTCCAGTCCATAAAATTCTTTCTTAAACCAATAGGGCACATCCAGAGGAAACTCCTGTTAAATCATGTGGAAAGACAAGCGGGGTACTGGGCTGTTTCCATGGATGCTATACCCTCAGCTG